CAGAACCGTTCTTCCCGGGCTTCTTCAGTACGAAAACAACGGCGTGTTTCCAATTGCGAGAAAAAAGATTTAATCTTAAACAGGCATTAAAGATATTTGTGATTTGCTCAATTCCTCTTCTGGGAAGCTCCATGAGGGCTTTAATTAGTGATGGTGTCGAAACCTGGTGCTTTTTTAGTATTTAATTTAGTAATTAAAGATTTAATTTCATTACGTGAGGTAGGATAGTTTCTTTTATCTTGGTGGGTGGAGAGCAAGTCGGTCACATTACTGCAGATGAGCGAATTTGGCTTGTGAATTGATTGACGGTAAATTGCTTTTCATACATACAGGCAAATTTATTAACAATATCTAAAGGTATCTTAATTATTATAGTGTTGTCTTTAATCGAATCAATTTCAGAATTATTTTTCTTTAAAGCTTTTGCAATTTTCCATATGGAGTGGTCGATGTGCGACAGGTTACTAATAAAATCATGCCAGGTAGAATCTTTATAATCCCCCATTAATTGAGCTGCCTGGCTGCTTGGTTCAGACGAAGTTCGCCAGTAGGATTTAGAGTGTTTTTATAAATTTTCCGTAATCTATTCTTCTCCGTAATTCTATTTTTTATATGAACTGGTAAGATAAATTTATCTACGGACAAGGGAGATCTTGAGTTATTAACAGCTGGAATGATATTGTTGGTGAGCACTGTTTTAACATTTTCAGCTTCATTGCTATCTGTGATGTTATTATTCATAGAAATGTGTATAATAGCATCACAGATAGCAATGAAGAATAAAATAATCTAGAATGTGGGTGAAGTTATTCCAGCTTATTTTGCTATGTAACGACGGTAATCCATGGCAAAGTCCATATAGAGTAAATTTGATATGAAGATGATCGGAAATGAGTGCGTTATCTACATTAAGATAAGGTACTTGCTTAATTTTAGAAATAATTATTATACCCAAGACATTATGATTAAAGGCTGACTTGGTAGAATGGTGAGTAGGCTCCGTAGAAGCATGAATGCTGATATCATTAAATAAGGTGTAATTATACAAGTTAATTCCATTCTGATTTGTTCTCCTGGAGTGCCAAGAAATATGTTTACAGTTAAAAATCCCCGGATATAATTGTGGGGTAGCCTAAGTTTAATATTATATCTAGATCTTAAGATGTGTTTGCAGTGGTTTGTAAGCAGAAACCAAAAGATAATTCACGTTCATGCTGGTGAAGAGACAAGCAAAATGCTGGATAACGAAGAAAAAGCTAATTTATAGCTTTTTAGACTGCGTTTAATAATTATAGCGGTTCCACCGCCTCCATTATGTAATCTGTCTGAGCGATATATATCGAAATTGGCAATTTTTAGACTGTCCGTGCTTCTGAGGTTTTATTAAGCAATATAATGTCCAAATCGTCAATTTTGATAGCTCAAGGAATCGTGCTTGAGCTCAACGAATCGTGTAGATATGCCATTGCAATTATGAAACATAAATTTAGCATAACTTATATGCTGTAAATTTTGTTGTGGAATTGGATAAGATTTAAAAGACATTATTGTTTTTGATAAAGATCTTTACAGCATCCATAGCGATGCTAATTTTGCGAGCTGGGTCGCTAGTACTCCTGCATATGGTGTAGATTTGGTACAGACTTTTTATTAATTCGGTAAATGTTTCAAAATCCTTCTCTTCGGGGATAACTTTTCCACTTATATTTGAATTACGTTTCGTACGAGAATGATTTGAATTTTTGAAGGTGCTGCAGCAGCAGCTGCGTATGATTGGATGTTAGCCGTAGTTGTATTATTTTCTGATTGGCTGTGAGAAGCCGAACGTTTTGAGTTTTCTTTGCCTTTTGCAAGGGACTTCGTTATTTTAGTATTTTGCGGATAGGTGCCTCTTCATTTCCCGGTTTCTTGGGACAATCAACACTGCAGGCTTGATGTGGCAGGCTGTTTGAGTATGACCGTATCTCTAGCAGTTGAAGCACTGCGTGGGACCCGGCCTGCTATTATAAGACACAATTCGCACACACATGTCTAAGATTTTGAGTATTTTCCGTATAACTTTTCCTGCGTCAGTACGTGGAGCTTCAATGTAAAAGGTGGGTTTATTTATAAAATGCCATCACACTAGTAGTTTTTATATTTTTACGTTCAGACCACAAGTGGTTGGTGTTCAGACCACAAGTGGTTGGTGTTCAGACCACAAGTGGTTGGTCTTTGTATCCCGAAGTGTGGGAGCGCCTATATTATTGTGGAAAATAAAGGGTAATTAAAACCTTCTCATCTTGTTATCTCTTCAACACTCCTCAAGACATAGTTTGTAGTCAAACTCCCTGTCCAACCAGGACACGCAATGTTCCTGAAGCAAATCAAAATACATACAAGTCCTGACATTTCCACTAAATGTTAGGCTGAGTGACTACTAAGGGGCGGATTTTCCCTGCGTACTTTTATGGCTGTTGGAAGGGAGTCGTGTTCTTAGTCGCAGAATCATCTTCTTTATTCTTTGTATTTGCTTGCAGCGCAATAGAGGAATATTCTTAAGCTCTAAATCTTCCTTTACTTCATCTGCAATAAAATCAGATGATAAGCCTTTTATAATTATGCTAAGACATTTGTCCGAGTTTAGAATATAGGTATGAAAAAGAATTGCTTCCCTTTGAAGCCTATCTTGCAGTTTTCGATAATCATCTACATCAAATACTTTAATTTTGAAGTTTTCGCCCTCAATCTTCCCTTCTGCATTTTCAATTTTTAAACTTTCTTTTATCTCTTTCCTCAGATCTTTCTGTAAGGATCTTAAGTTTTACTAACGTTTATTTTATTTTAAAACTTTACTATCACTTCTTATTTTCCACTTCCGGCCAGAATTAAATGTGCTAACTTGTTTATGCAAATTGTACTTGCTAACGCTCAAGTATAAGTTGTGGCTTCTTGCCAAGAGTTAGATAGAAAGGGAAAGTGAGCCGCCTTGCCACTGCATTCCGCACGAGATTTTAATCAGCTGTTGTCTGCCTTTAAGACCAGAGGTTTAGTCCTCTCGTTATTTAAAACGTACTGTATTTTCGGCAGTTTGCGTACTACATACGTAATAATTTAAAAGCGTTAGGCAGCATTAGGTCATTGTGTTAAACTAATTCAGAGTTAGCTCTTAGTTTTAGTTAGCTAGTAGGTTTTATATTTTTACGTTCAGACCATAAGTGGTTGGTGTTCAGACCACAGGTGGTTGGTCTTTGTATCCCGAAGTGTGGGAGCGCCTATATTATTGTGGAAAATAAAGGGTAATTAAAACCTTCTCATCTTGTTATCTCTTCAACACTCCTCAAGACATAGTTTGTAGTCAAACTCCCTGTCCAACCAGGACACGCAATGTTCCTGAAGCAAATCAAAATACATACAAGTCCTAACATTTCCACTAAATGTTAGGCTGAGTGACTACTAAGGGGGGATTTTCCCTGCGTACTTTTATGGCTGTTGGAAGGGAGTCGTGTTCTTAGTCGCAGAATCATCTTCTTCCATGTTATTATTCGTGTTATTTTCCTCCAAGTATTCCTCTTTTGAGAGGGAATCGAACTTAGCGCTTGTCCATCTTCTGATGAGTTATTCCTTTTCCTTAGTCGTTTGAGGGACTTGAAGCCAGTCTGACTTGTCTGAATCAGTGTTAGGTTTATTTTGAGAAATAGTTATGTTTTCAACGTTATGTCTAATCTATTCAGCGTTAGAGTTCGATAAAACAGAGTTGTAATAATCGTTAAGTTAAAGTCTTAATGAGTGAAGCATTTTTTTTTTTTTTGTTCCTTTGCAGGAACTCCATTATTTCGCTCAATAATATATGATTAAGATAATAGTATTTTTTTCGGGTGATAAAGCTCTATCTGTTGTCCTAAGTGGGACGTCCGAATTCTTTTCCATACCGTCAGCCAAGAGTCAGTTGTAAATATAATCAAGAGTCAATAGATCGTAAATGCCCTTTCAGCTATCATATAACAATAAGAAGCAAAATAATATACTCACTCACTATTCAAGTAGAACAGCAAAACTTCACAACCGGAGGGGAAAAGTCTTATCAGCTCGATGCGCAGTTAAGAAGTGCCTTCCCGAGGGATTGGGAACCGGTCTATTTATAGTCTTTTTATCCAAAGTCCTTTGCCACAGTCGAAGTGGAATTTGAAGTGAAAATATGAGGGCTTACCTTCACACGAAGTACATAGTCACTTCCATTTAGCGTGTAATCTCTCATAATTCGAAAATGCTTGGGTTCCATAACTACCTACTAGCGAGAATTTTTTTCTTTCTCTTTTTTGGTTTGCTTTCTTTTAAATACAGTTATTTAATAGGACTTTGAACATTACGATATTTTGCATCTGAAATTCTACAAACCATCATAATTTAAGGTAAAATATCTTATTATATTGTACGATTCCTGCGAATTTAACTATTCTGTTGGCTAGATCTTTACTTGAAATGTAAAGTGGCAATTCGCTAAGTTCAAACCGTACTAATGACAAGACGTAAGAAGGGTGAAAGTTCCCCTTTATTCAATTCAAGACGAAATTTACAGACGGCACTCCTAGTGCTTACAAACTGAGCCAATACGTTTGGCTGAAACTCAGAGTAGAAATATAAAAAGAATATTAAGTAATCAGCCGAAGCTTTACAGAGATAATTACAGACGTAAACAAACCGGCAATTAATATGCACGGCCGCAGAATAGCAAGCTTAAATCAGGGAACCATCGTGGCGAACCGCAGAAGACGCTTTGTCTGAAATAACTCAGACCACTAGCTTAAATATTTTCTTTCTACCCTACTTTGCATCTCACGCGAAACTGAAATATCATTTTGGCTGGAAATGAAAATGAGGGAAGTTGTAAAAGTTAAGTAACTGAACAAAACTGAATAGTTTAAAACTAAATGATTCTTTACAAAATATTTTATATTAAATTACATAACACTCCCTCTACATGTGTTTTTGACTTGATTGATATGTTTGTCTTTTTGCAGAGCTGCTGTGTACCTAACCTGTCGATGTGTGTCGACAACCCAGATGATTGTTTCTAAAGTATGTTTACGTCTGTATCTATTTATTTGCATACTTATTCGTATAGCTACAACAAAGACAGAAATGATAACATATATTTTGAGTTATTTTTCTCTTATATTTTAAAACTTAACCTTACTTCCTTATTTATTTAATTTAACGCCATCGGAACTTATTTTGTTTTGCTTCAGCTTTTAGTATTCCTCTTAGAGTGAAATAATTAGCTTGCTTCTTAATACAAATATTGAGTATAGTAAATAACTATCAATAAGAGTTTGCAGTCACCAATTTCTAGAATCATGGAAAAATAATAAATGATCAGAGATTCAAAAATTCGAATCTTTGCACGTTTTGACATTCCAATTTTTTTTAACCCTAACCTAAAAAAACCTTCAGCGATTGAGCTCAAAATGTTTAAAAACTCATTTTTTTTTTCCAGTTTCAGTGAACTTCAACCATAAATTCCATCTTGAGGTAACTCTTAATTTGTTAGACAAATCAACGATTCCGCGCTTATTATTTACCTACGCTGTGTGGTTTGGGATTAAGGTCACATAAAACTGAAAGTTGAAGTAAACATCCTCATAAATAAATCTAAACAACGCTTCGCACATTAATACGGCTGCTTTATTCCATTGTAGAACTCATCTTTTAGAATGTTTAAGTCTCTGTTACGGTTTTACGAATCTCTTTCAGTTATTAAAATAATGTGACGCTTACTTAATGTGACTTTTGATGACTTGTGATGTGACATTTAATTTTAGGAAAGAGAAAATATTTTGGAATAACTACATTTGGCGAATAAAGAGGAGTCTAAAATTGCGACATTTTGCTTTGCAAGAAAATACTTAATGAGTATGGAATCATGTAACAGTCCGTAATAATCCAGGACAAACAGTTATTCGACTGAACGTTTTCAGGCCCAATGCACTGAGTTCTCTTCAGAAGTCGGCCCCTTATTATCTTTGCAACAAATGGGACTCATATTTTATCTCTGAAAAACAAATTCCTTGTGAGTAAACATTTTGAATCAAAACATTCACCATGAGAGTCCTTACTCGAAAAATCTGAAAGTAAAGTTTTCATGTGGTTATGTGGATCTTCTTCAAGCCAAGAAAATTACTGCCGTTTTATCTCAGGATTATAAACAAAGCACCGAGTTTAATCTCCTGTCTCAAATTGTGTGAGACATTTTGTTTTCTTCGCTTTACAAGAGAACTGTACAGTTATTCTTCTCTTAGCTTTGGAACTTATGGCAGGAGATATCCTTTTGAAAGCAAACGATAAATTTGACTGAAAATTTATACAGAACCGAGAGTATTTTAAAACTAAATTCTGGCTCCAACAGGCAACTTACTGTCCCATCTTAGACATTCAGATAGATAGCTGTGAATTCAGAAGAATATAAATCTTCTTAACTTAATATCTTCACAGCTCGTGTGTTACGAAAACATTCAGAGTTTTATTCGGGATCCCACAACTCACAAATGCCAAAATAAACTTTAATTAAAGTATGCAACTCACACCACAAAGTCCTCCGATAATTTTTAGCTCAGACCCTCTAAATACGCGAGAAAACACTGCTAGATAAAGGCTCCGATCGAAATAGTCTGGGACAAAGTAGTGCAAAGGCTAGTGGTCTCTACCAAAACCTCTGTCTCTTACCTCTTTTTATGAACATTAAGTAACTTGCATTCTGGTGGGAACCGATGGAATAGAAACCACAGTAGAGATAAAAATAATAAGATAATATGTTATTTAACTTATAACCTTACAATCGCCATCACCATAATTTAAATAATTCGAAAACAAAGGGCTTAATAATAATAATAATAATGACCCCAGTAGCGAATTTTACAATTCTAAAGCTGAGATTGAGCCAAACCTTATACAACAGATTAACGTTAATTTTGTATTTGACAATGATTTGATGAAACAAGTAGCACCTATGGGCTGCAACTGTGTTAGTAATTACTCTGTAATACTGTGTTGCAACTGTGTTAGTAACAATTAAATTAATTGTTTCTTCAAGACTGCTGAAAAAATAGTTTAGCGGGACAAATAGCACGTTTGATTACATACATAATGCATATACACATGATTTCAGAGCTTACTTCAGTCCTGCACGTTTAACAACTTGCTTTCACTACACCGTTAAAGCCTTTCGCTCTCCAACTCTGTAGTAAAGGAAAAGGCAGGCTTACTCGCTAAAACTTACTACTCTTGCCGGCAGTAGCAGTACTCTTGTAGACTCCTCGGTAGCAAATTTTATAATTGTAAATCTGAGATGAGCCAAACCTTTAACAGTAATCATGTACCTGACAATAATTTGATGCAACAGTTAACACCTATGGGCTGTATCTGTGTTAACCGTTACTATCTGTTCCTTCCAGACTGCTGAAAAGAAAATAGTTTAGTATGACACATAATGCGTTTGAACACATACATAAACACAACTTTAGAGTTTATTTTAGTCCTGTACGTGAACAACTTACTTCAATATGTCTTAAAGTTTTTTGCTCTCCAACTCTGTAATAAAGAAAAGAGCAGGCTTACTCACTTCAGTTCACCGGAATCAGCACGCAACGATTTTAATAAACGGGTGGTATTTGCTCCGACATTTCTTGCCGGGATGGAGGTTGACAATCCTTATCAGTGGGAAATTCTGTGGGAAGGTGAGGCACAGTTTCACCTCAAATTTAGGCAACAGATAATTTCCATGCAGTTTAGAAAATTCCACTGCTTTCAACAAACGTCACTGATGGGTGTGGCTTCACAGCAGATTTCATCAGCTGATCGTTCTTAAAAAAGAACGATCAGCTTTTAAGAACTTTACTCTAACGAGACTACATACCTGTACCAAGCAAAGGGCATCTTGACATGCTGACTAATTTTCCCATTACACAACTTCAGCAAAGGCAGTTGGTAAATTTTATGCAAGATGGAGCATCACCACATATTGATTTATTTGTATAACGCGTTTGTCGCGCTATCACTTTACAAAAGAAAGGGTCATAAGTCGTTTTTTCCTACTAGCATGGCCGATTCGTTTTCCAGATGTAACCCATGTGACACTTTCCTGTGCTGTTATTTGAAGATCATGGTCTATCGTGATAGGGTCTCAACCTCCACGGCCTTGAAGGACAACATTTAACGAGATCCTGGTGACATGTCACATTCGGACGAGGACAGCGTTGTGTACATGATGTAATGTGTGATCCACGAGAAGGTGAATGCATTGCAAAAGTCTGTGTCCTCGCGGAGGAGACACTTTTATTGAATAAAGTACCATGGCGCACAGAAATATCATCTCGGTAGGTCTTTGGGCAATTCATTTGCCGCAATAAATTGATTTTGCACTGAAATATCTTTGTTATTGATACCTCATATATCAAGCTACAGATGACACTGGCTAGTATCAGTTTACAAACGAAAACCCTGTACAGTTAACATCTACTGCTTGTGCATATTCTGTATTAATAAATTTTTCCTTTGCAGTGGCATTAAACACTTAATATGTATTATTTAATACAGTAAATTTCCGATCTACTATAAATTCATTAAATTTTTATTACACTCACTCATGGATAAAATATAAATTATATAAAGTTGTTGTTCTTTGCAGAACTATACAAAAGTATTTCTCTTCATCTCTAACAAACTGTAAGACTAGTTAGTACCTCCCTTGCATCAGTACCTTCCTCTCTTGCTCAATACAGGCTGTTATATCATTTGCAGCACAGCTTTTTATAATGCATTACTATTTATTCTATTATGTTTATTTTATTATTTTGCAGTACTCTTTTATTTGTTATGTTAAGTGTGTATTTTTATATCTATTGTTCAGACTGAATCTTTGTTCGTATTATAATTGCATATTACCTGTTTGCTTATTATCAATGCATATATTTAGTTGTATGAATTCCTATTGTAAATGTGCGATTTTTAGATATATTATTATTGTAGGCATATTTATGGTTAATACATGACTTACGATACAGCTGTATCTTCAACGCTGATCCTAAGCTTTTTTAACGTGCAACTTTGTTTCTCAATGACGGTCTCAGGAACAAACATATTTTAAGACAAAAAATTTGGCTTAGGAGAAAGCATATATCTCAAAAACATCAAAAGCTATTGTTTTCGTTTGTGGCTTATTTAATAGTTGAAAAAGACCATTACAAAGCACAAAAAAGTTTCGAAAATTGGAATTTTGGTTGAGACACAGGACAGTCTCAAAATTACACAATATTTTAATAACATCACACCTGCGTTCGCACGAGTTATTTACAGCACCATTCAGTTCTATGTTAGAATCTACAAAGTGAGATTGTAGGAGCCACGTACAGATGTTATCTGTACATAAATAAACATTAAATGTCTAACAATGAAGATGAACTAAATACAGCGCAAGAGACAAGCAGACAAAATAAAGAAAGATTTATTGAAAAGAGATAATGAAGAACCTTTAGCTGAAAAAGAAATGAATGCAACCGAATATATTATTAAAATAATAATAAGAAAATAAAATCAACTGAAGTTGTTAGTTTTCAAATAAATCAAGGTGCTTCAACATCTACTGTCGCTAATAATAAATTGTTTAGATGTACCACCAGGTTATAGTGAAGAGATTATTCAACGGTATCTATTAAATAAAGAAAAACTGATCAGTTGTGTACACAATATTTAACAATCTTAATAACCAGGGCTACGCATCTAAGCCCAGCGGCCGTTTGGAACAAATGTAACAGACAACTTCTCATTAATTTTTTTATATTATTTTTTTTAATTCAAGTACGTATTCGTAGTTTCTTGCTCATCCTATTATTTTCTAAAAGTTCTTTCTCAACCAGCCAGCTGACCTCACTATAAAGGTTCCATTTTTACTTATGTCTGTACTTCTAACTAAGATACAAAGGCAGTCAGTCACTGGAGACATGACCTAAACAGTAAAATCTATATTAGAACCCTTTTTAAAGTATGCACATATAAAGGATGTTTATATACTTTTAGAAAGATTACGTGGTCGTTTAGGTAACGTTTAAAACGTAAAAATTAATATTTTAAATGTTCGGTTGCTTGCCTATTTGGTAAAATTCCTTGGGCATTACCTAACATGTAATAATGCGCCAAACGCATGGTCATATTATTGCAATTAAAAATTACCTAAAACTTTCCATGATAAATTGGAATATAAAACCAGATAAAATATAAGTACATATATCACATGACAACGAATTAAGATTTTAAAACCAATGAAATGAAATCATAAAACCAGTTTCTCTCAAATACTGTAATCAATTAAAATTGACTTCTTTTCCGATTTAACTGTCAAGACGTAAGTCATAGCAATTAAAGTATATTAAGTAAAGACTCTGTACATCGTATTAAAATGTGACTCACCGATAGAAGAGAGCTGTACTTTGAGCAAACGGGCTCATTCTCTGCTTTTAGTTCTGCACATGTAACATAAAAGTAAATTCTAAGTCGAATCAAAAGGACTTCCTCCGTTTGTTTTCCATTGCCATCCCAGTATCTCAGTGTAGAGTTTTCAGTTCTAAACTTGTGAAATTGAATGAACCATAGTAGGCTGCATTTGTTTGACTTTATTCTGCTTTATGGCAGTGCTGATTCCTTGAAACGATCGTGCCAACTAGGTAGTTCAACTGCTGACTTAACTGTAATTTCTGCCAGCTAAATTTTTATTCCTACGTGTCCGGCAACCAACAATAAAGCGTCTGATAACCTTGTTTTCTCAAATTCAAATTTAGCTTTGTCACATCAACAACTACTGTATGTTTTGTGCTCTGAAACAATTGCGTCGTCTTGTAAAAGTTTTTTTGTTTCAAGAAGAATAACAGATTGAGATGGATAAGCGGCTTTAATAAGAGTATGTCTAGAACGCAGCTGTTGGATTGTCTCACTTCATCAACGTTTAATTGTATATACTATTTCTAGATGATGAAAGGTGATAGTTTTTGTATGTCTCTTGCTATACTGTTAATTCTAAGAAATCAAGGGAATCTTTCATTATAATTTGCATTCACGTTTTTGATTTCAGTTTTTAAGCAAAGTACCATTTTGGTTAGAGTTTGCGTATTCGAAATTCGCAATTTTAGAAAGAAAACAGCTTCAGACCCATCGGCTCCTCCTTCCACGTAACGCAAGAAGGGGACGCAGATTCCTGCTCCCCGGCTAAGCGAGTATATAGTAGTCTGAAGGCCCACAATCACCTTTCTCGAAAGCAGGAACTCCCGAAAGCGTAACGCCAAGCCACTGACTCGAAAGACAAACAAACGCCCGAGCGATTGGCACTAGGGGGCGGCTAAGTGTCTCTCGTTTCAATCTAAAACAGAGGCCAAAGCAGTGTGCTAGGAACACGTTTTCGCTCCTCAACTGCCATGATACCTCTTTTTCAGCCTTATGGATCACAACGCACGGCAGAAGCGTTGACGGTTTTCTCCCCGTGAGAAACTAGAATCAAAGGGATACGGCAGAATCTCCCTTTTAGCCCCAACTTCCGAAAAGGAAAACCTTAAGGGGGTGGAGAAGGAATGACCGGAGGAAGGAGGTTTAAAAAGGAAAAGAGGGAGATCACTAGGGGTCCGAGATCGTGACCACTGTATCTCTAAGAGACTGATCCCTTAGAGGGAGTAAAGTTCAATCTAATAGGCTTTTTTTCTAAGTATGCGTCATGATTTCCATGACAAATTCTCTTCTCGTGAAAGTATCGGTAATGATCTCTATTCCTCTTCCACCTCTTTCCAAAGTCTATCATTCTTGGTGGCTTAGAGATGTTTTCGAGAGACCAAAAGCACAATTGTCCACATGAGAAATGGCACGAGAATTCACAGGAAGTATGCCTTGTCGTTTTGTCTTGATGAAGTTTCATTCTTTAAAAAAGTCATTGGGATAAATAAATGCAGTTTATTCTATACATATCGCACGTAAAACATTTTCTTGATAGTATTTTGAATTGATCTGAACATATTTTTCCACTCTCCGTATTTTTAATTTTCTACTGTGGGAAAAACTTACAACAATTATAAACCCCTTACTGAAACTTTCCTTCCTTGACGAAACCAGATTTGTGCCTATTCTTCTCTTCCTTTTCCGTAATAAATAAACCTTTTCTTGCTGCTGTCATTTACGTAAATCAGTGCCTCATCAAGGACAGCAATGTATTGCCATCTATCTCTTGCTAAGTAGTTTTAATACAGGGTTCTACCCGAAATTCTTTTGCGTTGAGCCACATGCTTCGGAAAACGTTGGTGTACATTGCAATTTTGGTGTACATTCAACTTGAAACTCTCGCTTTATTATATTATTTATTACTGCTACAGATACAATAAAAGAGGTTGCAATTGATTTCTGCGTCGGTGGAATTTCACTTGTTATTAAAGACTTAACTTTAGCAGCATTAGAAACGCATACGTACGTTTTTCAGGTATTCGACTGGAGTCTTCTTTCCAGGTAGAAGTAATGACTGACGCTTTTTTCGTTTCCGATTAATGATGTCGCTTATTTTCACTTCCTGCTTCAAATTTTCAAATTCAATATGCATTTTACAATGTTTTTGAATTACGAAATGAGAATATTTCTCTTCGGAAAGCGCAAAAACATTTCCTTCTATCCAGAGCTTTGTCTTATGCAGACTATGTTTCACATCTGAAATAAATTTGTATTCCTGTTGCCAAAAATTTGTATTCCTAAACATTCGCATTTAAATTTTTAAAAACATTCTTTATCGAAATCGTTCTAAAAACGCATAAACACTCTTTGTACTCTAGTTTTCTCGTTAACGGATATATGTAAATATATCTCACTAGAAGCTTTTTTATTATTGTGCAAAATACTATCTGAAGAAATGCTCTCTCTCTCTTTCTCTTATATATATATATATAAAATATTCTTAAAATGTTTCTGTAATCTCATTTATAATGAAAAAATGAATTAACGGACTTATGTCTTGATTTTACACTATTACATTTCAGTTGCCCTTACTTCCGCTCCGTTGGCAAAACAGTTTCTCCTACATGCTTTCTACAGTATTCAAAAAAGAAGAAGGTGTTGGATATTTCCTTATTTAATCTGTGACTTAATGTTTGTTTTGTTAAATGATACTCTTAAAAAGCTATCAATAAATATTTATTTTGAAAGTGTCTTGAGTATATTCTAATACTGAACACATTCGTAGTCACTAAAATATATATTATTTGATTACAAACAAGGTTAAAAAAAGTAAATACTCGCAAATATAGAAAACTCAAACCGGCGATATTCAGCGTTGCGCATGTTTCTCATTTGCGAAGAATACAGAAAATTATAATTGAAATTATCTGGCTACTGAATTTTTTTTTCCAATTTTTATTCAGGATTCTCAATACATTTAAATACCTGCAGTTAAAGTCAACTGGGTTTGAATTGCAGTCTTTTTCATTTACACGATATGCGCAGTTTATTTTAGCTTCTTGAAGGCCACTTGCCTTTATTAAAATGATTTAATAACTGTTTGAATGTTTCTTTATATTACTAATTAAAAACAATAAAATATAAATAAACTTTTATCTATGAACCGAATAATGGCCGAATGGATAAGTTCGCTGAACACTGGTAGCTCGACACCTATTTCCATAGCAGCAAAGGATTTGGTACTATTTGTATATTCGTGTTTTGAAGTTTGTAAATTAAATTTGACCCATTTATCTCAGAAAGTCCTCCTCCACGAAGATATCCTTGCCTTTAGTTAGATAAATCTTGTGATTTACGTCTTTTTTTAATTAAACAAGTAACCTGTTACGTTTTTCTATCTAATATTACCAGTTCAGGTTTTAAATTCTTTACTCTCTATCTCTTTTTTTTTTTTTTTTTTTTTTTTTTTTTTTTTTTTTTTTTTTTTTTATATAAACGTTGTTTTTACAAAATTCGTTTTTGCTAACGGTAATTTTTGTATAACTTCTTAAATTTAGCAATTTTACGTAAAAGTAATAAACACATTTTATATACTGAGTCTAGAGAAAGATATTGTTCGAATTTTGTATATATGTAAATAATTTTACTGAAATTATACGTAAAATTATATTATCGTTTGTATGATACAACACTAAAGAACTCTAGAGAGTGAAGCTCCGCGAAAAAATACAGATTCTGCGTCAAGTCCATATACGTAAGTGGCTTCAAAAAGGTTACAAGCATCAGTATTTCACAAGTAATTATTATGGTGGGAATACCCTATCTCGAAAAATGTAGGCAAATAGCACTTGTTGTCTAGCAGCGGTTGTGCGGGTAAGTAGAGTTAGTTTAGCAAACGCGTCAGAGCGATTGAAATGGCAAGACGTTTAGAAAAGTGGTCTAGCTTGTAGATACGAGCCATGATTCGTTGTTTTGATCGAGTATCTGGAGCGTGGCCATATCGTTACTGCCGATCACTGTTGTCCAGACAAGGTTACATGAAGCCACAAGACGCAAGCGCTCTAGCGTGCTAAGTGATGGTGTCATCCTCCTGCATGGCAATGCCAGGCCCCATACTGCTCGCCAAACTCAGGAATTGTTACAAAGGTTTAAGTGAAAAGTCAGGGATATCCCCCCATACCCGAGTAGCCCAGGTTTAGAAAGTTCGTTTTTCTAAATTGAAGGAACATTTACCTTAAATGAGGTTTTCTTCAGACATTCATAGAAAACCAGACACCGAGAACTGGCTCAGGGGACAAAACGTTATTTCTACCAACTCATCTTAAACACGTCGGTCCTGCGTCCAGATTAATGCCTAAATAGATTTGGTAATTATGTGGAAAAATTATAGGAAATTAGGCCTCTTAATTCCCTTCTGTATTTTCTGTCTATTCTTAATAATTATTTTTTTATTACCCTTGCAGTGTCTTCTTTTTTAGATCCACCCTCGGAATATGGATATATCGATTGGAGAGATTGCGCCAAGCTACAGTGGTTTCAACAACTAATTTTTGTCTCCAAATTCAGCGAGCAGTCGCCAAACGTCCATTAGTGACATTTCGTTCCAAACCATGTATAAGTGGTAACTGGTAAACCCCTATTATATTTCTGATTTGTCGGTATTTTCTATTAACGTACTGTAACTATCGTACCTGTTCGACATGGTAAATATGCACGAGGATGTCTAAGAAAAGTCTGTTTTCTCATTTTCAGTTTCTGCACACTTCTATTAAAAAGTTAGCGCTGCAATACGGGATTTTTTTCATTCATTTGGCGGTGTATGCATCACTGGACGTTGCTCGAAGTCTTTAGGAAAGATAGGAGAAGAATATGCATGGGGGGGAAAGAACATTACACTCGAAGCAAAAAAAGCGGAAGATAAAAACCAAGTGCAAATGATCTGTAAGAAAACGAAGAATAAAACAAAATATAACTAGCCAACTTTTCTTTATGTTTGAAAATTTATTAACTCACTGTTCAATAGGGTAATATGGAGGACCACGTCCGTGGTTATCTTAGAATCAGGATTAACCCAAGGGTAGCTGAGAAAGACACACACGATGGAAAAAAATAATCCATATTATAATTAAAATTGGTATATTAACTGTTTATCTGTGCTCTCAAGAGAGTTAAATCTGGAGACAAATTTTATGTGGTTACACGAATAATCAATAATAAAAATTCTCTCTCTCTTCAGCGCATGTTCCCTTACTTCTCTAAGTGTTTCATAATATCCCTATTTCTGCTCCTTGCCGGATTCTGACTATCGTTCCGAAGAACCTGGAGTGGAATCTTGGAGAACACATGAATGTAAATTGTCCAGTTCTTCACAGGAGGCAACAATGCCCCAACTGTGAGCTATCTTTATAATAAAATGGGCCATTGCTTCTGGCCCTAATATTGCCCAGCGGGTATTACCACCCAAACGGGAAATGGCTAGTGACTCTGACTGCCGTATCGAAAAGCTCTTATTCGAGTCCCGGAGAAGGCATGGATGTAAATTGTCTGTCCTTTAGAAGGCAACGGTGATCCACCTGTTAGGTGCTACCATAATAAAGTGGCCACCGCTTCTGAATTTAGTAATGGCTAACCCTATCATGGCGAGTGCCTGCCATTGGGATAAAAAGTATTTAACCGCCCAAGACGGCAACGTGGTTAGTGACACTGACTGCCATACCGAAGAGCCCTGGCTCGAATTTTGGAGAAGGTATGAAGGTAAATTGTCTATCCCCTCATACCAGATAACAGTGGTCTACCCAGGTGCCTCCATGATAATGTGACTACCGTTTATGGCTTTCGTAGTGGGCAAAGCCTGTAACTGCTAGTGCCAGCCCTTTAAAAAATTCTGTTCCTTTCTCTCTTCATGGATCGGTATAAATGGCTCAAAGGCTATTGGTAACGAGGCGCAAAATTCAGAACATAATATTGAGCAACTTCTACTTATTCCGAGAAACTGTGAACCGTGTAAATAACGCAAGTTATATGGAGGGTATTATTAACTAAAGGCTAACATGGACTTGTCATATTAAGCACGTGATAGGAAATGCCTGTGATATCGCCAACCAACTTTCTGTACTCCTAGGAAATTATTCTGAATTTTCTTTTAACAGAAAGGTATAACTATACATTATAAGTCCAATTTAATGCTACGCATCTGCAGCCTGCACATCAGCCTAAAAAGCAGACTTCCACAATATTCAGGTAATATATAAAAAGATTTTGAGAAGAATTCTAAATGCTTAATACCTGATAGGACGCAAACTAATCCATAATGATTTGAAAATCGGCCCTATAGTGAACCACACATTACCAACATCACATTATTATTTACGTATTCCGCTCTCACTACACGAAAGTTTAGGATACCTTCGTGGAGGACTTTCTAAGGGAAACCGGCTCGTATTAACACGTGACACATGAGAAAAACCACGAAAACACCGATGCAGACAGCCCATTCGCGGGGTTCTAACGTCGGAACTAGTGTTTAATGACTTTACCGCTCGGCCTCTGGTGAGAGACATTGCTAACATTAATTAGTGTTTTTTTTTTAAACTGGACCTAGCTGCGATGATGCTGCGAAATTTTCAGAAATTTTTAGTTACCAAATCATTTCAGAAAATTATTTGATCAGACCACTTGCTTCTCACCTGCTTCGAGACCACTTTCTCACCTAGCTTCGACGGTTGACGTTTACTTGCTTCATTGCGCGGCGTGAATTTGGTCTAAAATCGCTTTCAATCTGATTGGCACACACGCAGTACAGGAAACAATGGTCTCCTTACTTTCATCTCCCGTAAACGTTCTTGGAATTTCACCTGCTACCTCGTCAAACTGATGTGCCTTACTTTTCTTTTCTAGCTTATTAAGATCCCTTCTGTGGTGACGTAAGTAACTTCATAATCCATATTCGTATCATTGTTAATGGAGCATAAACTGTTTTATTTTCCTTTTCTTTCCTTTTGGATTTCGATGTGAAATCAATCTGAAACCTTAATATTAATGTTGTAACTGAGGAATTTACTTTCACTGTTTATATGATATAAAAATGCTCGTATAAACTGAACTATGTACGATTAAATTACGTACTGGTGTGGAAAAAATAATTCTAAAATACCGTCATCTGTTGTGCTGTTAGCGCGTGTGTTTTCATTTTGATGCTTTCAGTAGGCAGTTTTGCTTTATATTGATTGTTTGTGATGCAAATGTTTCGATCGCTTCACGATACACAAACTTAAGTTCTTCATAGAAGGGTCCTATTAATTATCCCTAGATAATCGGAAGTTGACTGCAATAAGGCACATTTCATAGTGAATAAGGGATCACATATTTAAGCAGACAGCCTTCGTGGGCTTAAGGGGCCAAGGGGCCTCGTGTGCTCTGCTGTAATCAATGAAGCATGCAAACAATAGGTCAGGTACAGTAGTTTGTTTTATATAATAAACTTAAGTAATTTTAAAAATATCCTCAATTTATTTACGAATTCATTAAAAATTTCTTTATATGTTTTTTAAAACATCACCTTCGGAAGAAGTTTTGAATACACGTATTTAAGCATGTTGAAATTCATGCTAACAATTTGCTGAAAAGAAATCTTATTATTTCATGCAAGGAAGATATTACCCAGCATTGATTAATTATTACCAGCAGTTTCCCTTTAATAAAATAAGCATTAAATTTTTCTTTTAATTTTCTTAAATTTTCTTTAATGTTT